CCCTTTGTCCTTCTCGTTTCTGTTATAAACGTGCATCCAATTTCTCTGTGTTATTTCTATTAACTCAGTGGTTAGATTCTTTATGTAGAATTCCCTTTTTTCCTTCTCGTTTCTGTTATAAACGTGCATCCAATTTCTCTGTGTTATTTCTATTAACTCAGTGGTTAGTTTCTTTATGTAGAATTCTCTATCTTCTTGTACTTTGTCAGGTGCTGTTTCGAGAGACAGCCATCTGTTTACTGAATTTTAAATACTGGCTATAACTTACCGATGAAACGTTAGCTCATAGGAAATTGGGCATTGCATTGACGTCAAGATCTCTTGATCAGAAATCGTTAAAACCGTGATCTTGATCTTGATATATAACTGTAGTGAAAATAGAGTGTAATAGTTGATGACACTTATCCATCGCAATACAAATATAAAACTTTCTAAGCCCTTGCATTTGGAATGAAATTCATTTACTTGCGGCCCCGTATGACCAGGTGGTTAGGGTGCTCGACTCGCAATCTGCGGGTCGCGGGTTCGAATCCCCGTCCCACCAAACATGCTCGCCCTTTCAGCCGTGGGGGCATTATAATGTGACGGTCAATCCCACTATTCGTTGGTAAAAGAGGAGCCCAAGAGTTCGCGGTGGGTGGTGATGACTAGCTCCCTTCCCTCTACTCTTACACTGCTAAATTAGGGTCGGCTAGCGCAGATAGCTCTCGTGTAGCTTTACGCGAAATTCAAAAACAAACAAACAAAGATTTGCTTGTACTTAAAATGAAATCGATTGAGCTTTTAATGAAGCTTATACGTTTGGTTTCCTTAAAAACCACTAGTTAATTAAATTCATTATAGTTTTTCTAAACTGAAAGTAAATACTGTGGATAAACTATAATTCGATTAGTCAATAAATGAGTAGAAATTTATTTCCACGTGTACCAACCCTTCCTCTTGTTTGTATGAAGTTTAGCACAAAGCTACACAATGGGCTATCTGTGCTCTGCCCACCAGTTAGTATATATATATTTTAAAATAATGCATGTGTGTAATAGAAAGACTTAATAGAAGTATAAAACAATTTTGGAAGGTGGATTCTTTAACAGAAAATTAAATAATTTAAACGGTCAACATTTACTTTATGTTGACTTGGCAAAATGTTTGAAAACGAAACGTACATTGTTATAATTATTACGGTTTGTTTGCTTCTATAAAAAATTTTATGATAAAGATTAATATACGCCTCAATTCATTAACGTATATTGTTGTTGTTGTTGTTAAGCACAAAGCTACACAGTGGGCTATCTGTGCTCTGCCCACCACGGGTATCAAAATCCGGTTTCTAGCGTTGATATTTTGGTTATTAACACCACTTTCTTTAATAAATTTGTTTCGACACATATTTGTTATCAAAATCGAGGACGTTAACTGTCATTAATATACTCGTGTTTTTCATGTACGACACATTTCTGATGGTGATTGTTTAGGGACACTCTTAATTTTCGAATATTGGAATTGGCCGTCACATTATAACGCTGCCATGGCTGAAAGGGCGAGCATGTTCGTTGATGGAGTTCGATCCCGCGATCAACAGATTGCGAGTCGAGCGGCCAAACCACCAAGCCCTAACCAAAGAAGATAAAATTATTTTTGTTAACTCTATGTGTAAAATATTGTGTTAATCATTAGCTACCGGAGCTTTGCACTAATAGCAAAAAAAAATGTTACTGCGTCTCCACACAACTTACAACAAGGAAATGTTTTTATTTATCCAGAAAATTATCACTTATCGTACTGTCTCGTAGAGTTAGAATTCATTCTAACAATAGTTTCGTGTGGTAGAGCGAATAGTTTCATGTGGTAGATAGAATAACTTCGTATGGTAGAGCGAATAGCTTCATGTGGTAGAGCGAATAGTTTCATGTAGTAGAGCGAATAGCTTAGTGTGGTAGAGCGAATAGTTTCATGTGGTAGATGGAATAGCTTCATTTGGTAGAGCGAATAGCCTCGTGTGGTAGAGCGAATAGCTTCGTGTGGTAGAGCGAATAGTTTCATGTGGTAGATGGAATAGCTTCATGTGGTAGAACGGATAGCTTCGTGTGGTAGAGCGAATAGCTTCATGTGGTAGATGGAATAGCTTCATGTGGTAGAGCGAATAGCTTCGTGTGGTAGAGCAAATAGCTTCATGTGGCAGAGCGATTACTAATTGCCCAAACAATCGTATTATTTTTCGATTTTATGAATTTTGCTCTAAATCTCTAACAGTGAAAGATCTTTTAAATTCTATATTTGCTTTCAAATTAACACAATATTCAGAGTATTTTCCATTAATTCGTGGTCTTCTATACAACTGAACACACATTTTTACTGATTCTATGTTTTACATGAAATGTTCGAGAAAATGTTCAAATCTCACTGAGGGCATTTAGCGTACAGAAACAAACGCTATATTTTCGTAAGTTCGCGAACATTTGTCTTCATTGTTGACTATCCAATAATGATGATAGTTAATGACGACTCTTGTCTTCAGTTTATCATCCCCTTGATGATTGGCAGAATTATCACCCCATTCAAGGTGATTAATTGTCAGAATTGCACATTAAAATGTGCAACGTTTGCTTTTAGATAAAAGTGACTGATTAAAATTTGTATTTGTATTGAGAAGATATTTCAGTAATGAGTAACAATATTCTGTTTTCTTTCTTGAAGTTAAAAGATCTGTGATATAATTAATATATTTATTGATTTAGATAGAAACTTGGGTTGAAATTCGCAAAAGAACAGAATATATATATATGTGTGTATAGATGTTAAACAGAAAGTTATGTAACAATTTCAATGATTTTTTTGCAACTTCGCTAAAGCTGTCATAAGCAATTTCGCGTCAAACTATTCAAGAACTGTTTGCGTTTATGAGTTTGAGCTGATAGACCCGAAGGATGGAAGGTAGTCAACAGCTAATGTTTGTGCTGCTCTTGTCTGATAACATAGTGAAATTTATTCCTTTGCTTGTATACAGTATCCATAACCACAAAGTACGGAGTGCGTTTTTACGGCAACAGATCGCGAGACGTGAATCCTCGTGTATCTTTGCGCGAAGTTCATAACAAACATACTTAAGTTTGGATTTTTAATAAGACATTATATATAATTTCATATAAATATACGAAACGCGCTATATTACCTTCTAGAGAATACTACTGTTTCCTACCCATCAGTTATGGGCTAACTTAGAAGATTGTGAGAAGCAAAAACATGTTAAGGCATAAGAATTTAATTTAAGAACATGAAAAATTTTGCTATTTCTTTAAAAGAAAAGCTTAAACTGTTTTTTCCTCTATAGGTCGGAGTTAAGTTTACGAACTTGCT